TGCACACCTTGTTCACCCACTGGACCATCGAGTCCAGGGTCTCCAGTTGCTCCTGGTGGTCCCATTTCTCCCATTGGTCCATCTTCACCAGGTTCACCTGGTTGCCCAACAGGACATGGCTTGCACGGTGGTGCGGTTATCGGTTCACATGGTTGGGGTGGTGGTCGTCCTGGATTTCCTGGACGTCCAGTTGCTCCAGGACGTCCTTGTTTGCCTGGTTTTCCTTGTGGTCCTTCTGGACCTGGTGGACCCGGTTGACAACATTGGTCACAACTAGCACCACTAATTTCTGGTGAAGGTGCTTGCTGTGGAGTTTCACCATAGCCAGCTTGACGAGCTGTTCGATTTAGTGTCTCGATTGGATTGTTTCGCAGTTGTCGTACTTCCATCCAGGTATCCTTTATAGAACTCTGAAATATATAGCACTTTTTTAACTAAAATTTTCTTAAACTTCATTTTTTTTTAAAGAAAAAAATTGGAAGTAGTTGCTACTCTTTAACAAGTTTATAACTCTAAAATTATTTCAATTCTTTTACCAATATTTACCGCCGCAAACAAAAGGCATCTTTTTTTTTCAAATTATGTTTTTTAGAATAGAAAAATAATTAAATGGGAAAACAATTTTAATATTTATATAATTAATATTTCCCTAATGAGCAATTCGCAACAGTGATTTTGTTCGATAAATGATTGTTGTTCGCAGCTTAAACAATTACGCTTATAATTAGTATTTAAATTACTTATACCAATAAGCATTTGTGCAAATGCATTTTCAAACTAGATTGTTTGCTATAATTTCGAAATTAAAAAAGACTTTCAGAATGCTTTCATTATTTTTAGGTTATAGCGACAAATTGTAATATAGTTTACATTTAATTCATATTAATTGTAATACCAACAAGGTTTTAATATTGATTATTTGAAGTGCTTGCTTAACTAATTAATTCAGTACACAGTCCTACTTGTTTTTATTAAACTAATCTCAGAAAATTTAATTTGAAAATTTTAACCGATTTCTAGTGAATTGCATGATTCATTGATTTGTGCAAAAAGATTTTCAGATTTCATGACACAAAGCTTCAACACGATAAATGATGATTTAGGGAAATAAAATTGTTATTCCTATTAACTGAAAAATTTCGAACGAATTGGAAATTTCGATGTAATGAAATACGCTAATTTTATTTTGACATGAAATAAGCTTATAAGTACACTATTTCAACAAACAAAAATAAAAATTTTTATCATTTGTAAAAAATAAGACTCGTCTTTTTCAACTTTTTATCTCTTTAAATTCAGTTTTCGACGACAATTCATATGAGATATTTGTACCAAACAAAAATAATTCGACATATGGGAAATATTTAAAAAGTAAAAATTGACTAGAAAAAATGTAATTTAAAAAACTGACGCTGAAATTTAAATCAAATTTCGATGCATTTTTTGATCTTATTTCCTTACTTATATGAATGAGTTAAGTAAAGCAAAAATTTTATTAATGCTTCGAAACTAATCAAATAAACAAATTAGACAAAAAAAAAAAAAAAAAAAACAGAGAAGAGCAAGAGTAAAGAGAAATAAGTAAACCTTATAAGATAACATGAACTTACCTTACAAAATATAACATCACTATTCATTTTCTGTCGTACGTGATAGACGTAATTATAAACCATTGGTAATGTTATACATAATGATAAAATAGCCAAAAAAGAAAAAAAGAAAGCAAAATAGCCAATAAATTTATAAGCTTTGATACGATTCTTCAATTCCACCATTTTTAGCAGCTTGCTTTAGTGAATGAAATTTTGAAAATTTTTTCCTTTTGACAATAAAATAAAGTTGCATTAATTAATTGCCCTTTTATAATGACTAACAACTGATATTGAACATAGCATTAACTAGTTTTGATGGAAAATTATGAACATAAGCTATTTGGGTAAATATCACTCATTCCATTTCATTCATTATGCTATTTGCTTCATCATTTCAACGAGATGAAAATGGGTAAAAATAAATGGAAGAGAGAGAGAGAGAGAGAGAGAGAGAGGTAGTACTGAAAAATGAATAAAGAAATTGCAAATGTTGCAACAATTTATTTATTATGCATATAGCAATGAAAGTAAATAAGTAAATAAGAATTTATGAAATAAGGAAAGAGCAATATTGGAATGATAGCAGTATATATATTTATTTATTCATTTGTTTATTTTGTTTTATATAAATTTAAATGAAATTTGAATATAGAACGTTCATTGTATAATTATTACAGTATTTTAGATTTTATTTTCAATTTATAATGTTTTGAAAATTTAAATTAAAGCTTTATCACTATTTTATATTTTATTATTCGTTTCTTTTAAATTATCATTTTTTCCCATATTTCATCGCTTTATTTTATTTTTGTGACTTCATATTTTTTAAAAATAATTTTGAACATCACTAATTTTAATCATTTATGATTCGATACTTGTGATTTTTCAATTTTTTTCTTTCTTTTTTTTAGGATAAATAAGAGATCTCAAAAATATTTCATTTCAAAAATGCATAATTAATCAGACTATTCAAACTTCAAAATTTGTTATTTAATAAATATACAACAATAAGTTAATTTATTAATTAAACTTGAAATTTATAGATGATAATGTGGTAATTAATTTCAGATATAATTTGTTAATTATTAGCAGATTAATTTTGAGATAAATAGATGATTGATTAATTATATGTATTACATCTGAAACGCTTATATTTTCACTTTCAGTGTAAGACATTTCTCAGCTGTGTGTTGACAGTTTGATTATATTAAGAATCTCAAGAAAAATGATAACAAATTTCAAGTTTTCCGACCATACATGAAGAAGAAACCTGCATGCACACTGATAATATGGCATGTTTATTATGCTGGAGGGCTTCCAATGTTAAGGTATTTTATGCTGAAATTTTCAAAATTAATAATTATTGAATGTTTCTGAAGGTTTGACAAAAGCATACAAGAAGAAAGCGCTTATTTCTTGTGCATTAGATGAGAAAAGAAAAGGAATGGGATGGGGTGTATATCCTAACCGGTTATCTATCATATATGTATATAAACATAAATAGATAAATTCATGTAAACTAACGAATTTTCGGGTAAATTTTTAACTGAATTTTTTTCCTCCATAATACATTTGAGAAACTATTAATTATTAACTTCATATTTGAATACAGTGATTGAACAATGAAAAATAATAAAACATACAAGATTTTGAAAATAATATAAAATCTATGATCAGATATATATTAACTATCTGATCATAAACTATTTGATAATAGCTATATATATATAAGAAATATTTAGATTGACAATACATTATTGCTTAAAAAAGCGAAATAGTGTAAATGTTTAACTGAAATTATTAATCAATGAAATAGCAAATAAATCATGAAAATAAAAGAAAAAAGTATTACTTGTTAAGAGATATTTAGAGTATTATGAAGAAAAAATGTTAATATATTACAACCAAAATTGCTTAATTTCATATTAAAATATGTTCGAACTATTATGTAAAGACAGAAATAATAGAATGATAGAAATCTACGGAAGTTTCATTTCAATTAAAGTTGTCTTTTTTTTATTTTAAAAAATTTACGTTGCAAATAATTGATGGATATTAAGAAAAAATGAATTATTAGGCAGAATAATAAGAAATGAAATATATCAAATCCTAAATGACTTTGTATATATATTTATGTACGAATTTACGCACACTTACATAAATATATATTATATATTTTTTATTTTATATAAATTTAAATAAAATTTGAATATAAACCATTAATTATATAATTATCACAGTACTTTAGATTTAATTTGTCAATGTTTTGAAATTTTGAATCAAAACTTTATTATTTTGCATTTTATCATTTTTTTTTTTTAAATTAACAATTTTTTCTCATATTTTATTGCTTTATTTCATTTTTGTGACTTTACGTTTCTTTAAAATATTTTTACACTTCACTAATTTAAATCATTTATGATTCGATATTTGTGACTTTTCAATTATATATATATATATATATATATATATATATATTTGTACGAATTTGAGATAACCATTTATCATCAAACTAATGCTACAAGCTGAAAAAGTTCGTTGAAATAAACTTCTGATTCTTTTCTTTTTTTTTCCGTCCCATTCATTTATACCGTTTATTAATCAAATAATTTTATTGTTGAAAAATAAAACAATATGGTTGAAATATTTCATTCAAATGGGTCACATATGGTTAAAGAATAAATGATAGAAATTTTAATTTCTGTTACAATACTTTTATTTTTATAACAGTTACAATGTTTACAAAAAAAAAAGAAGATTCACTGTTTTGGAACTGAGGAAAATCCCACCACTGATTTTGTCGTAACAGTTATGGTTACTTAAAATAAGCCAAATATATTCTTATAATTTGTTTAGGAATATTTCTGACATAGAAAAAGTAAGAAATTAATGTCAAGGTAACCGTATATTTGTTGAAAAGTATTATCACAAGTTATTCATAAAGTTTTCACAACAAATAAGCTAAACAAGCGACGTTAGAAATAAAATCTTAATATGCAAAAGAAAAAAAATCAAGTTTCAATGTGTAATTCAAAAATTTGTCGAAAAAGTTTGTTTGAAATTACTTTACTTTATACAATATAATAACAAAATGAATTAAAAGACTAGCATAAACAAATTGATACTAAAAGATTGCTATCTACATATGAAATTTATATAGTTGAATCATCACCAATACAATTGATTTCTATGTTGCAAAATTATCTTTTAATTTGCTAAATGTAAATTATAATTTTAAAAGTGACAATCAAATTTAAATTTTTGTTAAATAATATACGATAAAGTTGACATAATGCAAGTTGTACATACTACCAAAGCTAAATGTAATCAATTTATAAATCCAAATTAATTCATAAAATGCAAACTTAATAAATTCTAAGTTTTTTGTTAAATAATAAATTTGATGCCTCAGACACTGGTATTAAGACCCAAAAGTTGGGTATGATCACTTCCATTTTGTTCACCGATAATCCTAGAATGCACTGGTACTGGTGGCGTTGATGATGTCGACTGTGGCCCAGCTGGAACTGTCCTGAAAATAATTTAGCTATATCATTAATCATCTTCTTCATTGAAAAGTAAAATCTGAATTATTCAAAAAAAAAAAAAAAAAAAACTACTTGTTACTCCGTATGACAGTTGTCTTAACTGGACTCGATGGTCTCCTGGACAAATTTGGTACCGATTCATGATACTGCTCAGGATACGGTGCAATAGTATCGACAGCACGGTACTGTCCGTTTGTTTCACCGCGATATCCACCACTACCACCAACTACGATCGGAACAGTACCACCAATTGGTCCTCCACGATACTGCGAGTCGTGCTCGTTACCGTGGTACACACCATTTGTTTCGCTTGACATCGAATCTGTTCGTGCTTTTGTGAATGGCCTAGTTTCCGAAGACTGTAATTAGCCAGTCTAACACGTCAATAGCCTAGTTTGCGAAGACTATAAATTGCTAATCTATAATATCAAAAGAAAGGAAGAAATATTTTCTCAAAATTTCTACTAAGAAATGATTTTTTGTAAATTAAAACGTTGTACTACAGAAATATGGTAGATTATCAAATTATTCTACTTTTTCTATCTATTAGCCTAGAAATTAAATAATAATAAGTACTCAAAAATTATCCCATTTGCATGTTCTAAAATATTCTGTGCTTTCCGAACCATCAATCGTCTCATTATTATCACATTTTATGATTAACTTTTCAACTTTGATTTATAGTTAACTTTTATTTAAGACAAATTATGATGGAACAGTCAGTGAAAACATTTACCCTCCAATCACGGCTTACCATGGAACCTCGAATTGGTACTTTGTATAGCGACGAAATTTTCTCCTCCGCTTGATGTCTCCTTTTCTGTTTCAAAGTCCAACAACACAAAAATATAAAGACAATTGCCTAAAGTTTTCATTTCAAATCATTCTTCGACATTTTAAGTAGATGATTCTTGGCATTTCCGATATAGAAATCTCTTTTTACTTCTCTCTTCCAGAACTGCTCACCGTATGAGCTAATATCTGAATTCAAATCAGTGATTCAAAATTTTCATTTCACTTTCAAAACATACCATAATTATACCAATGGTTGAAAATATTCCAGTAAGCCATTTGAATAAATTGTCTTTTTCACGCGAACGACACCATGGTTGTGATCCTTTGTTCCATTCAAATCGATAACTATGTGGATCGTTGTAGTCTACAACAATACCGCCTGTAATATACTCAAATTTAATAATTATTCAGGTGGTAAGAAAATAATAGAATTTGACATTTAAATTTCTGAACAATAATTTTAATAACTGTAAGCAACTTTACATTTGTATTCATAATCGCCTTTAATCCAATGTGTTTGAAAGCAATCAAAGCGTGCCACATCACCTTCCAGATAACCGGATGATAGCACCGGTGTTTTCATCAAATATTCTGGATATTCTATCATAATCGGTCCACAACTATTATCTACAATGAAATGAATTAATTTAATTATTTTAAATTATTGGAAAAGAAATTAACATTTTGAAAGGTTAGTTTTATTTTGAATAGAAAGCTATGAAAATATGCAATGAGTGAAGTTCATGATATACTTACAATGTCTTGAAGCATGCATTCTATCATTTGAAAATGAATTCCAATTGTTTTGTGCTTCCATTCCAAGCAATCGAGCATTAAATAACATATAATCATTAAGGCATGACACAGAATCACCACATTCTTGAATTATTTGACTGGGATTATCCGGACAATAATCAATACCGTATTGTTGCTCGTATAAATTTTGTAGTGGTTGCCAATTTGCTAGAAAATTAGAAACTTTTTGCTGAATTAAAGAAAGTTATTTTTCAAAACGAATAAAAGAAAAAAAAAAAAAAACGAAACAAAGAGACTTACTTCGATCACTAAGCTGAAGATCACGACATGTTTGCAATCGTTGGTTAAGCATTTGGCCCGTCATTGGTACAAAACGATATCTACCACTGAAATACGATTTATTCGTAAAATTAATTTATAATATGTGAATGTTTTAAAGTAAATTGGGTCAATTACTTATAGAACTCAAGAACTGAAGAAGTATTAGATGAGGTGTTGACAAAAAGTCGAAGTAATTTTTCAAACAAAATATCTAAAAACAGGTTTGAACGAGCACATTATATTTTTTAGCATCATTAATTGATATGTTAATAATGAGGAATGAATTCGCAACATTTACAACATTTCATGAATCTCTTAAACCACTACACATTATAACATTTCTATTAGAATTAAATACAAATATAAAAAAAATCAATTAAGTGAATAAACATACGTTTCATATTCTGCAGAAGTTTTATATATGGGTTCACTTTTTATGTAAACTTCAGGAAATACTTCGAATTTCTTATCAATATCCTGACTAGTCGTGAACATATTATCGGTTGGAATATTCTGATTTAATGTACCCATCGTTTGTCTGGAATCACCGGTACCCGGAATAAGGTCTGCAATTAAGAATTAACAAGAATATCCTACTTAACATTATTTGGTACTTGCTTCGAAGTAAAGATAACAATAAGTGAGTAACATATAAACATATATGGGATATATTTTCCGGAATCTTGTAAGTTGCACTTAAATGTTGAATAACCAAAATGAGCTCAGAGATTTAAAAAAAGTAGTTCGATAAGTTTTTATTGAAAATTTATTTGGTTTTCTCTTATCCTTTGATACTCAGTGCAAAATTTATACAATCACTAGATAAATTTTTCATTGATTTCTAAAAGGTAGAAAAAACCTGAGTATAAAAATAATTTCCAACAAAAATTCTGAAAATTGCAGATCTCGAGAAGTAAATGCACATAAGGTAATCTCTATTGTAATATTTATTAGGTCTTTTGAAATTCCAAATTTAAATGTAACACTCACAATTTGAAATAATTTGCTGACGGATTCCTTCTGCATTAACATCACTCAAGCTTAGACCAGATAAATAGGAAGCAGACGTTTGATCTGGAAATGGTCGCATAAGACCGGATACACGTGGAAAATTATATCGTGTACGCATATCTTGCTCTCGAGCCTTATCACCGTCAGGACGCTACAAAACGCTACAAACAGTAAATTTTGGATTTGACTATCATTAGAAAAAAATGCACATTTAATTTCTTGAAGTTTAACATGAATAATTTGTGCATTTATGAAATCACACAGGAAAATTTTGAAAACTTACCACACCGTACTGTGGAGGTACACTAAGTTCAATATCAAGTAAACCCATACTTTCTTGATACATTGATAAACGATCAATATCAAGATTATATGATTCACGAATACGAATTCCTACTTGTGCTTCTTCCAGAACGACATAAATTTCCGGTTGACCTCGTTCTACATTGTTCACATAAACCATTACTCCTTAAAGCAAGTTTCAGGATGATATTATTTATGACTGCTCAAGAAGAGATAGAAATGAAATATGATGATGCATTTTGAAATCATAATGAAATAAGGTTTACAATTTAATTCTACCTGCCTAATCCAAACGCTCAGCATTATTTAAAGTAGAATATGTTTAATTTCTATGTCAGGTAATCATACTTACCTCTGAATCGCTGAATTCTCATCACATCAAAATAGCGGAGTATATTGCCAACAATAATGCTTGTACGATACCGGAAACGTCGGGTATCTTTACGAGCAACCACATGCACTCGATCGGTTCCGGTTGCTTCGATTGCTATTCCAGTAATAACAGTTGCATTCGTAGGTTGCACTAAATTTGCTTGTCCTATTTGACGTCCAAGTAAGCCTACAATAGTATCATTAATCTTTGGCCCAAGTAAATAAATAAACAAAAATAAGCAAATATGAATTAGCTAATCTAGTATAAAAAAGACAATTAAATTCATTGAATGAAAAAATTTTTAAATATATGGTTGATAGGAAATTCAAAAAGCTTACTGAAATCAACTCTACGATCTGGATAGCGCTCCAGTCGCACTTGAATTCGTACTTCTGGTGTTGTAACAGTTTTTGGGATATACAAAAATGTGAACACTCCTGGTTCATTGAAGATGAATTTGTCATTATCAATAGTATTGAAGCTTACTGCTCCAAGTGCTTCACCTTAAAATTGATAAATATAAAATTCATTTTAACTCAATAACCTAATTAAAAATTTTTATTTGCTGAAAAAATGTATGAAGAAAGTTGTTATTCGAATAATTTGATAGCAATTAACAAATATACCACAACAACCTCGTATTACAGCTAATTAGCTATTACAATAAATATGCAGTCGAAAAGATGGAAACGAATGATAGATGTTATTTAAAACAGTTAACCTCCGGAATATTTGACATAAAGCATAAAACTGCTATAGTTTACTGGGAAATAACAGATGCATACCGACAGCTGGAGGCTGATACTGTTGGCATCCGCTACTTGGCCGCCTCCAGTAAAATAGCTGACAACGAAATTTTGCATATTTACAGCAAAAGAAGTACGGCATATAATCGTGATAAAATACGGAAAGACCTGGCACCTGAACCAAACATGAGAGAAAAAATACGACAATGTTTAGATGAGGAAAATATTAAGCTACTACAGAATGTTATCGGTAAACTATAATTGAAGATTTTTGAAAAATCATCAATGACATAAAGAAAATAAATTAATGATTTGCAAAAAAAAAAATTGCTTTAAAAATTTAAATAATTAATTGAAATGAAACTTTTTGAAAATTTTGCCTCAAACTGTCCAATATATGGATCAGTTCCAAATTCGTAAGCACGTAATGGATATCCAGGATTGTACGGTGTGTCATCGGTTACTTTTATCACCGGTTGATAAGATGTTTGCATTAATTTGCCCTCTTCATCGTAACAGCATACTTGCCCATAATGCGTTTGAAAACGCCTATAACGCTAATTTCATAAAGCAAATTAATAACAAATAATCAGTTGGATTTTTTTAAACATTGCTTTAGCTAATATTATTTTAAATAAATTCAAAATTACTTCAATCACTTTAGTTCCTCAAATTAAATTAATTAAGAAATTTATAAATTCTCATGAAAATCTACGCTGTTTTTTCGCTTTCATATCCCGAACCTTCACCAGCATATGAACCATAAATATTTTGAGCACTCATATAGCAATTTTTTGCACCAATCATCGTTTGACAAGTAATGTCACGAAATATCTAAAGCATTAAAAATTTTCTTCATAAATAGTTTTCTTTTCTTCTCTCTCTATCCTAATTTTTGAATATATAACATATATTAAGTATGAAATTTCGAACAATTAAATTTGTTCCCGTTTTTTGATAATCGATTATTATTGAAATAGTTTTTTTTTTTTCTCTCACTGCCATCTAATCAATATATGGGAGCTTACTTCCTTAGATATCTGAGCTAACTTCTTTTGCATAGAGATCACGTACACCCGTGTAAGTACATGGTTGTAGTAAAGTAATTTGGTACCCTTTCATAGGATGCTGGGTAGCATAAATGTAGCTCTACTGAGTTTACTTGTTTTTAGTAACAGTCAAATTTTCTATTCGTAATCAATAAAACTTATATTTGTTTTTATTAATTTATACTTATACTATTAGTTTAACCTGAGAGCAACGAGGATGTGGCATAAAACGACCAATATCCACACGTGCTTGACTCTCCACGCATGGACACGATGCGTTAGTTTCTGTATCACGAATAAAATTATACTGCGCTCCATCTTCTGCGAACCTAAATTTTGAAAATATGAGAATAAAAAAAAAAAAGAAAAAAAAATGAATGAATAAAATATTACAAAAATAAGCACACCATTTTAATGTTTTGTTTTTGAATGAGAAAAAAAAAAAAACAAACAAAAACAAATGTAAAACGTACCAGTCATGGCATATTTCAGTTGCTTTAGTTGAAACGAAATGCATTCTACTTTCTGCATCTTGTTGTGAATAGGTTGATGATACGAATTGTGGGTTATTAATGGTCCATAACCAATGAATTGATATTGGTGGTGAAACTAATCTGTAAACGACTTATCATTATTTAAGAGTTAGCAATATATATATATATATATATATAGCATTTTTCGTTAAAAAATGTTTCAAAATAATAATTAAACATTTCTGAGTTGCAAGAATTAACTTTATAGGGATTAAATTTAAATTAAAATGTTTTATTGGTCAAAATATACTCGCTGGTATTTGATGAAAGGGAGAAGAAAAAAGTAAATAACCCAGAAGGCAAATGAGTTAAATGTTGTGAAGTATCTTCATTGGCAGTAACTGGTGCTAATTTTAGATAACCAAAGCGATATGAATAGAGCGTATTTGTTCGTTCCCAGTCTGTCAAATACCATTTTTCAACCTAAAATATAATTATCAAAATGTTATTTTTCAATTAGGCAACCTAATCTAATAATCTATTCTGAAACGCTCTGTTATTCTGAAATCTAATAATATCTGTTACTAGAAATTCAGGAAATTTTTAATTCACTTTAAGATTTCGAAAATGTCCAGTATATTTATTATTAGAAATTATTATTAAAATACAATTTTTTTCCCACACCTGATATAAATTAATTTTTTCTTCTTGTGGTTTCCAGCGATAATCAGGTGAATTTCGATTAGTATATGTTGCTAATCGGCACAAAACTCGATGTTCCGGACGGAATTTCTTAATCTAAAATGAACAATTTATTTGTTGCTGCAAGAAAATTTCCAGTTATTTTATTAATTATGTATAAAAATCACCTGATCATCAGCCGCTTCTCTGTAGCCTATGACATATAAGCCAAGTTGTACAGAGTATAACTGATTATCGCTTATTCGTATGTTGTAATCTTTGTAGTCAAGATCTGGATTTGTAAAATTTCTCGGATACCATGTTATTGGCATTACCTAAAATTTAATTGTAATATTTGAACAATAATTAGTTATAAATTAGATTTTTATTTTTACAGCTCTGCAATATGTAATTTATTTAAATTAAAATAAAATTCTTACAGTTTTTAATATCGGATTTCTAAACCATTCATATACATTGCCGATATCTAGACGCATTGGATCTAACGTTGGTGGCACTTAAAACAATGAATATCATTATGCATTATGATAAAATAAATTTTATTCTAAAAGTTGAAACAAAAAAAAAAATATTAGACATTATGGAAAATTTTTGAACGTGTCATTATGTTTTATACGTGAAATTTTTTGAATTTTAAATCGTTTCATTGATAACTGACCAAAATAGATGTATCCGACGAATGCTTTATCTTCTTGATGAGATCCGGACTGTGGTTGAAAATAAACTGTTTTCGTGCCCCAATCATAAATTTTCGGAAGATGACAGCGAGCAATAGCTGAATTAATCACGGTGCACGACGCTGTTTGGCGTTGTTCAATCATCAAAACGTACGTCTGGCTACGATCCAAGCATAATGCATTCACATCCACACTTGTCTCACCCAACATATTGGCTATATTTGGATAAATTAACATCGGGTCTGAAAAGATTTTTTTTTTTTTTGAATAATTTTAGCTGTGACAAATTTGGAGGGAAGAGAGAGATAAAAAAAAAAACGAAAAAAAACTTTGGAAGAATCATTTTAAATAGCTCTAACTCGATTATTTGCAATTGCTAAAGTAAATTAATTTATGAAAATTTAATTTCGAAAAATTCCAGCAAATATATGCTTTGTTAAAAGTAATATATATTAACAATAATTCAAAATGTACATTTATGAGATTACACTTTCACGCAGTTAAAATGTTTCACACAACTGAGTAAGTAAATAATATTACATTAATTTTTCACACATAAATGATTTTACTTTATCATTAGTAAACTTTTACGTTCAATTTGATCTATTAGCAAGAATTAAATGTACAATTAGTAAAGAAAAAATTTATTTCAATTTTTTCTTCTTTCTCTACAAAATTCAATATATTCATGAATACGATTACAGGTCACTTTAAAACTCCGAAACTCAATTCACGTCTTAAATTTCAAAATTTCTTTAAAACTTACATGTACCACCAGTTTTATTCGAACATCCAGCCGGTCGAACAACGTCATCGACACGAAACATATACCGTCCACGAACCATATGTGGTACACCGGAACGTTGTGCCAATATTGTTGGTGTATTTTTGTACATGAAAGTTGGATCTACCGGTACGCTACCAGTATGATTACCACCATTGAAAAGTGCCTGAATTGGCAACAAAATATGACGACTAGCAAAATTTACACTTTTTAAATTGATTAAAAGTTTGGACAAATAACTCACTTGACAACGACCACTTCTAGAGTTCATCCGGAAATCAGCAGCATCAAATCCAAGTTTGTCGTAATTCAAAATAACATAACTTAATCGACCAGGCTAGAAAAAAAAATTCATCTCTAAAATTTTAATTTTGTTAAAATAGAAAAAGGGACAAATTTTGTCTTTTTTTTTTTGATATTTCATCGAATCTAATAACATTCGGTCAAACCGTTTTATGGAATAATTATAACATTTTCAGGAAAATTAGAATCAAAATGATTGCATTTTTTGCTATCATTATAAAGTATGGGTTAGCTTTAACTTTTTTTTAGCATTTATGCTTACCTGATCAGTCAACCAAATTGCTTGGTAAGTAGATAACTGACCAGCATCAATATCAGAACGACCAACAATAGCGGATGCTGTATTGTACCAGGTAACTACAAATGCTGCATCTGCACGAAATGCTGCTGCACCAGCAACTCCTTCTATAAAATTTCACTTATATTTTTTATGTTAAAATTTCAAATCACTTTTATTCATTACATTAGATTATAATTTAATAAACCTTGAAGCCATCGCATCATTTGGTCGAGGAAATAATCACTGTTTTGATCGCAATGCACATATGAATCAGATGTACTTGGACAAGCCTGCAATTTTCACAACAATTTTAAAAAATTTCAATTCCAAAAAAATTTTTTTTAACATTAGTAATAAGTTAAAGCAAACAAACTTGACTAGCTGGTTGCCTAAAGAAACTTGACTGTTCCATGGTACCACCAAATGGTATGTTAATATTACCACCACGGCCAAATAATGATTGTCGTAACATCAAACGATAATAAACACCAGTTTTCAGTCCTGGACTTGGATTTTGTACTATCTGTAACAATAATTTCAGATTAAAACTACTAAAAATTGTTAAAGTTTAGATTGAATTATTGATTATAATGCTATCAAATTAACAAATATTTATTTAATTTCAGTTAACATCAAATATATTATTTCATGTTTTAAGTAAATTTGAAAACCTGTTGTTTGCATAAATATGGTGCAATCATTGCCGGGTCCTGTTGTTGTGGCCAATTGGTTGATTCTACACCAACGTTTATTGTTGGACCTTGATCTAACACAGTTGCAAATGCAATGTATCCATTTACCGAAAGCTTCAATTTGCATTATATTATGTTTGTACTAATCCAATATATTTATCAGAAGATATAAACATTAGAAAAAAATTTTTTCCTCTAAATTATAAAAGAATTTCTGTGAAATTTTTCTGAAAAAAAACCGCAAAATTTTAAGTTTCAATCTTCAAAGAAAAAAAAAAAAAAGCTAACTAGCACATACCACTGAATAGTTATATAAACCACCATAGAATGGAAAAAACATGTGCAAATTAATTGTTTGTCCAGAAGTAAGCATTCCTGGATGTACTTTCTGATCACCTGCTTCAGGTCCGAATGGCACTAAGTTTACTGAAACATGAAAAGTATTATGAATTATTTATCGCTAATCTTGATTCGAAACAACTTAAAAATTTTTAATTAACAAAACTTAGTGATTAAATATTATACATTTTTAGTTACATATCATATCTGATGTAATTAACATACCATGTGCTGAATTGCTATCACGACCGGTGAAAATTTTAGCACCTTCTTGTCCTGGATTAAGATTTTCTTGGTTTGTTGATGGTACTGGATTTTGCTGAGATATTTGTTGAGCAGAACTAAGTAATGATAGACATTTTATGACTATAACAAATAAAAAAATTGTTGATAGTATCATATTAAGTTTCCCAGAATTTTGTAATTTATCGAGTATAAGACAAATAGATCTTTGCTTAATTCTTCTGGAATCTGAAAAAAATTGCATATATTGTTAGTACATATTGAAATATTCTTGAAATAAGTACGAACTGACAATTTCAATGCTTGTTTTATTAAACTATAACTAAAAATTATCGTATATTTCGAATTTAATTGCAAATTTTTCGAAATCATAGGTAAAAATAAGGCGTTCACTTTACATTTCCTTGCATTTTTAATGCATTAAATTTTATGATGGAAATTTTAAAATCACCACCAATATTGAGAAATTGGTAGGTGCAAAGTGTCTTTTAATAAGATGAGATGAAATTGATAGAGAAAACGAAGGAAATGAATCATGAATGGTAAGTAGTATAAAAACGCAGCTGAAGGAATCAACTTTATGCCAAAATATTTCTTTCAGAAGTAACTTGAGAATTTAAAATTTTTAAGCTAATGTTCAATATCGTTGCCATTTTTTGAAAGAGCAAAGTTCACGGATTAATTATTGTTCAAATCAAATTACCGATACAAAATGATGAGTCATGCAACCAATGTGTAACATGTTTACTTAAGCAGAGACAACAAACAAAAAGAAGATATTTGAAGTTTAACGATCCACAATTTTTGCAAACAAATAGAAATGTTTTTTTGGCAAAAAGTCGATAAAATGAATTCATGTTAAAAACATTAACATATTTACTAATTTATGAGAAGAAAAAAGGAAGAAAGAAAAAACGAGACAAATAGCTAACGGTATTGTTTTTCTTAATTGTAACTAACTTTAAGATTTAAAAAAAAAAATGTTTTATGAATCATTTTTCAATAAATTAGAATTAGTACAGATTATTAGGGAGGAAAAAGAGAACGAAAAGAAAAAAAAAGATATTGAAAAGTGAAGAAATATAAATTTTACTAACACTTGATATTTGAAAGGCTAACATATCAAATGAATATACAAATAGATGGACAGATACAAATACACCATTCCATCACTGATAACAATGTTGATTGCAATTAACCGCTTCGTTTATTAACAAAATTGCTTCTCATTCATTTCCTCAATGCTCATTATCTTCTCTATAGCAAAAATGATAAAAATGAAAAAAAAAACGAAGAAAAAAACTAAAATAGGAAATCATCACATCAATAAATAAAAGAGGAATGAAAAAAAAAAACCAAATTAAATTAATCAAGTTTTCATATATTCTTCTTTTTTAATTATTAAAATATTAGATATTAACATAGGACAATAACAGCAAACAAATGAAATATGAAGAAAAAAATCCTTTTTTTTTTACCAGTTCGAATTTTTTTTTAAAATTTTATTAACTTTTAAAGTTTAATTTATTATAGTTTATTACATATATATAAAGCAACAATAGCAAAGAAAAAAGGAAAACAAATAAATTAATAAGAAATAAATGGTATATAATTTTGTGAAAAAAAAAGAAAAGAAAACATTATACAAACAAAATTTCTCCCATCATTTGAATCAGAATTTAAGCATTCAATTGATGTTCACCAAAATGTATGCTATTTTCTATTATGTTTGATATGAATAGTGATGAAAATGTTGTTTGAAACGTTCCTGAAATACCATAGTAAAAGTGTATTTGATCAATAGATGAGAAATAATCAATCATTCGCGCCTGGCTTCTTCATTTATTCGTCATTTATTTAATGAAATATTTATTAGAAATGAATAAATATGATGTTTTTGTTTTGTTCAGTAGTTGTAACTTAATCTAATCAATAAATAATATTAATTATTGATATTACTGACTATTATTACTGTTATTATCATTATTATTACTAGACTTTATGAATTATTCTGTCGTTTATTTATGAATCCATTTGTTGTAATGTGTTTATTTGTGTACAATTTTTATATTATACTCCATTTTCTTCTTTTTTGAATTACTTCGTATACATCATTCAAAAAAAATCAATTTTCACCATAATTGTCAAAAATTGACTATTTAGTTCATATTTATTCATCACAGTTACTTTTAATATTATACTTCTCCATCTTTTTTGACATCTCTTTGTTCTCTCTCTCCCTCTTTCTCTTCCTTCTGCCATCTTCTCACTTCACTTTTTTTTCAGAAATATCTGTTCTGCGAAACAATTTACAGCACACATATATTATTGGTGACAGAAATTCAACAGAACGGAATTAATAATTCCTGAAAGTGAAAATTGGAAATGAAACAAATTTAATTTGTTGTAAGTGCGGTAAAATTTTTAAATTTAAAATTAAACCAGTTGAATTTGTAGTGGTGTAATAGAATCAAACAAGTCAATGTGTATATTAAGCAATATATTTACACAAGCGCTCACAACATTATGGAATTTCAGTCAGCAAAATGCAGAAATATCGACAAATACACTAAAGTAAGAGAAATTTCATTTAAACATTATGCAGGTAATATTAGCCGATGCTATCTTTCTCCTCTATTTCTTCTCTGATCAAATTTTTTCACTAAATTTAAAATTTTTGAGAGGATTTTTGAGAGGATTATTGAAGTTTAAAAGTGGAAGTAATAAAACAGAAAGAGAGGAGAGAGAAAGAAAAAAACGACAAACAAAACAAATAATTAAGTATTAGATTAATAGTTAAAAGTAAATGAAAAGTAATCAGCAATAAAAAAAATGCTAAATTCTAACAGAAATTAAGATTTAGATATGAATTTTTAAAACTTTTTTACTAATTTTAAACCTCTCTGGATGAAGAAAAGAAAGAAAGAAAATATTTTCAAAGTTTGAACATTACAATTCTTATTTTAATTCGTTAAATTTCTTCTGGAAAAATAACAATTTTTTTTTTCCTGTTACGTTTTAAATACGGGAAGTAATAAGATGATAGGTTAAATTGATCAATAACAAAAAGCTATTAGTACATAATATCCCATTTCAATGAAAATTGAAATTACAAAACTTTTTATTTTTAAAATTATTTCTTCAAATTTGAATCTTTTTTAAAAAAAAAAGGAAAATCGCTAATTGGAAATTAACGCATATACATAATTAACTTTAAATTTTATTCCAAATATTTCAGATAAAAATTAAAATCAAAGTGCAAAAAAATAAATAATATGTTTAAAATACAATGAATCAATAATGATTTAAGCTAGCTACCTGCTTACTTCCTTCTCTACCGCTTTGCAAATTATTTGTTGAAGGAACTGAAGTGGTTTGTATGTTTGCGATTATTTGTATATGTCCGCCTTGCTATTTGGAAGGAATACAAGTTGCCCACCCAAATGCACACTTTATAAATGAACTGGGTAACATTCTTCAATTTGACTCAAAATTTCAGGCATTATAAGCATAATTAAATCAATAATTCATTCCGATCTATTCAAATATTTTATTATTTTTTTTGCTTAATTTATGAACAAATTATATGATTACATTAATGAAAATACAAATGTAAATGTACTAATTATACCTATGTATATAATGTATAGTAATTAAGTATTTGTAAAATTAAGTGCTACTTATTTTAATAGACGAATTATTTGATTGAATAATCATTCAACAACTCATTCCATTATGAAATTATTTTTAGCTGCATTATTTGCTAATATTACAAAAGAAAAAATGGTTAATAAGCAAATGATAATAAGAGAGTAAAAATTTACCTTATGCAAATAAAAGATTATTATGATTATAAATGAATTTTTTTTTTTGGGTTAAAAATTGTTGTTGTAATAATGAATACAAATAACTATTCTAACTAATCAATTTGCAGTAGTTTAGATGATTTCACGATGAAAACAAAGTTTTTTTTCTTAATAGAAAAGATGAAATTAGTGAATTAGGGTAAAATCTAAGAAAATACTATTAAATCAAATAAATTCTTCGTTTTTTTTTTTTTTTGATATTACAATCAATAAGTGATTTAAATCAAAACCATATTAGAAAAAAATAAAAGTGAATCTGAAAATTTAAATTTTAAAAAAGGTGAGAACTATCTCTAAATGGAATAAAATTATTATTGATGCTGATATTTATTGATGCCTGTAGGAAGCATATGATTCATCAGTGTGTAAATATCACTTCTTACATTTTCATGATAAAGAAATGCTGAAGTAATCACTCTTCTCTCTCGTCGTACTTCTTTTTCTCTCCTATTCTTTTATTGCATAAATTTTTGCATAATTTTTTACTAAAAAGAAAATTTATAAAATTAGATCAAAAATTCCCTCCTTTAAATCAATTTTTAATAATTTTTCTTGATTGCATCTGCTTTGAATTTTTTGTAATAATTTAAAAGTTAAAAGTAGCACAAAAAGATTATTAGTACATCGAAAAGCTGAAAAAACAAAAGTACTTGCATTCCTGTTATTTTTACTGAATCTTAATTTAGATGGAATAAATCATTATTGAATATATTTGCAAATAGGTAAAACTAATTTAATTAATTTCGGAACTTTTGATTGCAACCAAAAATAACGAATTAATCAAATAATTAGCAAACTCTTTTTTCAGGGGTTTTTATTTGCATATTATTGTTATCGGCTATTAAAAAATCGGTATAATATATAATTTATTATAATATTTGCAAATATTTGAAATCTTTACAACGAGAAACAGATTAATATAATTGAATTAAAAAAAAACTTGCTGAAAATGTTGAAAATAACTAATATTCTATCGATAGTATTAATTACTAAATTTAATGACTGAAAGAGTTTGACAATACAATCATTTTTTTTTGTCAACAATAAGTATTTTTTAATATAAATAAAATACAAGTTTGCTTTGCTTGAAGTAAAGGTATGCTAGCAAAAAAAAGTTAAATAAAATCCTAAAAAATTTAGAATTAATTAAAGTCAGAAATGATTTTAATTTAACTTCTAACTTATTTCCCTTCTTTTTCCTTCTTTCCATTATTTTTCCTTTTTTCTAGACTAAAAAATTAAAATATATATATATATATATATATATATATTAATTAATAATAAAAATACA